CTTCTCCTCCTCCTCCTCCATCCCCTCCTCCTCCACCTCTTCGTCCTCCTCCCCCCCCCCTACTGTTATTGGATACACACTAGGATCCTACTCTGTTGCTAAGCTAAATTGTTTCTGTAAGTTCAAACCTGGCGCTCCAATACTTCTCAACACATTGTGCTATCTACTCTGATAAACAGAAGATCAAAAGGCATCGGCATCATTTAAAAACACAGTAACATCAGTTACTTACAAAACCACTCAGAGTAGCAAAATTTTAAACCAAAGCAAGAAAGGTAACTATGAGGATGACAGATTAGTCCTTAGAAAAGGCATTACACATTCACACGGACTGTCACTGGTAAGTACCATCGACCCAGAGGCTGAATCACTAGCTGTTTCTCCCCACGCCGCTTAACGGGAAAAATTGAAGAAGATGAGGATGGATAATTACTGTATTTCAAACAGAAGGCATACTTCACTAATAAAGATGAAGCGTACAATTGAAGATGACATCCAGCCCTGAGTTAAAGTGTGTAAATCGATCACGCGGTCAATCAGTTTAAAGGGGAAATGGATGCAGTGTATTTCATATAATGCAGTCTGCTGTTTAGACTGCTAAATTTAAACGTTGCAGTAGGGTGCTTTGAAAATATGGACCAAGAAGACGCAGACTACCTTTACTCTTCACGTTCTCAACAAAGAGAAGGACTCTCCTATATAATGTATCTTTTCTCGAAAATTGACATAATTCAGACGCATAAAACGACGTAATGGTTTGGGGAATGCAGTAATGGAGAACAGGGGCGGAGTCACGTAAAAAACATTGGGTGGGTGGGGAGCACTCAGAAACCTTTTAATATTTTGTAAAAATGTCGCTTTGGTGAGTCCAGGAAAACAAGACATCTACTGAGAATAAAATGTTGCAGGCTACGTGCAGTAGGAAAATTAACATCATCATCATGTAGCAGGTCCTTTGCAGAACGTCGCTCTCATCACGGTCTGACTAAACAAATCACGGTCTCTCGCCAGCTCTCCCGCCTCATGTACTTTCATACTCAAGGAGTCACTTATATCCTGTGCCCATCTTCGTGTTGGTGGGTCCGTGCCCCTTCTTCCTGGTACCATGCCTTCTGCTATTAACACAGTGTTGATATGTGCACTGTAAGCAGTTATAAGGAATAATACGTATTTAGAAATGGACATGATATCTTTACAAATATAATCAAGGAGATAAGTAAGCATTCGTATGTCATGTCGCCGATCGGCCATTCTAGAGCAAAACAGGTTTTTGTTGGGAGGTGGTACCGACGTATTCTGCCAATACACTTGGTTATAGGTTGATACACCATAAGGAACCAGCAGATTATGTCAAGGCATAAATATTACACAGTTTGTGTCCATTGTTTCAGGTGTGAAAAACGGCCACTATTGGCAGTTTACCCCAAAACCAATGCTGTGTGTAGAACCTGAAAGCTGTTGAACTTGTGAAAAGTTGGATTTTCAGCCAGCATAAGTTCCAAAAGCTAATTGTGCTTATGTCAGCCTTGCCTATATCTAGCGAATCTAGATTCCTGTCTGAAGAACGTCCTGCCTAGTTATGCATGAGTGATGACGATACACTTAGTGGAATGCCAAACTCATAACTGAAGGACCAGCTGACAGGCTGTTTTCAATAGTGTTACTGGCTGTGACACAATAGACATTGATAGTAATGATAATATTTATTCCTATGATAATTTATTGTAACCCCGCCCCAGAATATCAGTAAAATGTCTCCGCAATGGGGCGCACACGCCACCTGGCCGTTAAAAGTTAGATTTCCGGCACAATAACAAAACCATTATTTTTTTATTTTGTCTACTGTGTCCTTCTATCTTTCTACTTCTGTCTATAAATGGCAATCGATATATTGACTGTTTGTTTGTTATATATTATGTGTGTGTGTGTGTGTGTGTGTGTGTGTGTGTGCGTTGTGTGTGTGTGTGTGTGTGTGTGTGTATAAATATACGAAACAAGAAGAAAGAATTAACAGCAATGATTAATATTACGAGAAGGAAAACACGCGAAGCTGCAAAATATGATAACAATTAGAAAGATCCGGAGTGAATTGTCAGAGAGCCTATGCTCCAGCTGGGAATAAAGGACAGAAAAATAAACACAAAAAAAAAATGTTGTGCAAGGACGTTTATAGTTTGCACAAACTGGGTTCACTCATAATGCAAATTTTGACCATCGATGCTCAAAAGTGGACCAAAGTGGCCCGCTTGAAAGCAAACACAAATTAGCCGAGGAAACGCACTTAAAGGGATCTAGTCTCATCTAGAACATCTC